GAGTCATCCCTGAGCCGGTGAGATTTGAACTGCCGAACTGCAGTCAGCTGAAGTAGCCTGCAGTGCTGCATTTAACCACTGCCCCACCTCGGATCTTGGAGTCCTAATGGACAATCACTTAAACACGAGCTAGTAATGTGCAGCAGCAGCCAAAAAAGCGAATACAATCCTTGGCTGTAGAAACAGAGGCATAGAATCAAAATCAGGTGAAGTATGAGTACCACTTTATAAAACCTTAGTAAGGCCACACCTGGAATCCTGCATCCAGTTTTGGTCAACACCTTGCAAAAAAGACGATGCTGACACTTTGGAAAACGTGCAAAGAAGAGCAACTAAGATGATTAAAGGCCCAGAGACTAAAACACAGGATTGCAGAATTTCGATACGGCTAGTCTAGAGAGAAGAAAACTACATCGACTTTTGATCGCCACGTTATAAAAAACAACGTTGAGACTTTGGAAAAAGTCCAGAGGAAGAAAACTAGGATAATAAAATGCCCAGAGACTAAAACATCTGACGTTGCAAGAATGGGGTATGGCCAATGTAGGAAAAAAGAAGGACGAGAGGGGACATGATAGCAATATTCCAATATTTGAGGAGCTGCCCCAAAATAAGTTGAGCTGCCTCAACTTCTTTTCCAAGCCACCAGAGGGCAGGACAAGAAACAATAGATGGAAACTAATCAAGGAGAGACGCAACTTGGAATTAAGGAGAAACTCCCTGACAGTGAGAATGATCAACCAGTGGAACAGCTGGCCTTCAGAAGTTGTGGGCGCGTCATCACTGGAGGTTTTTAAGAAGAGACTGGACAGTCACTTGTTTGAAATGCTGTAGATTCTCCTGCTTGAGCAGGGGGTTGGACTAGAAGACCTCCGAGGTCCCTCCTAGCTCTATTCTGATGGATTGATAGAATCTCCTGCACGTCAAAGCCAATTCTGCCTGACATTTCTTAGCGACAAGGCAGAAGCTGCTGAGAAGATGCATTTTATTCCTCCAAGCTAGACTAGCTTGTACGATTTCCTGCTAAGCCTCATTCCATGCGCTAACCAAGCCTGAACCTGCTCAAGCTTTCTTTGAAATCCGCCAGGGCCAATTGCTGANAACCGTTCTTCATATGTTTTAGCCTCCAGTCCCCTAATCATCTTTGTTGCTCTTCTCCGCACTCTTTCTAGAGTCTCCACATCTTTTTTTTTTTCATTTCCAGCAACAAAAGCTTCCCCCCAAAGCAGGGGTCTATTTCTGATCAGCTTAACAATACAGGAAAAGAGAGTGATAAAAGAGAGATTATTTCCTGACTTAAATTAACCTGTGATACCCAGATCTGTAACCATACGGCTCGGTCCAAATTTCTAAGAATTCTCCTCTGAGTTCATTAGAGATCCAGTTTTGATTCTACCATCACTGCTCCAACTAGTCTTCTTCAAAAGTCCTGCATTGCCACCACTTTGTAAGAAAACTGCTCCCTGGTGGCTAACCCAAATCAAAGTCTCATTTCAAACGTTATGGATTTTCTGCGAAGTCCCTGGTCTTAGCCAGCTGGAGAAAATCAATGATGGAAGTAAAACAGTGGAATGCTTAACTACAGAAACATCCAAGCTATATTCCAAAATTCTATAACTCAGCCATTCCAGGAGAGTCTATTTGCTTCGCCCAAATATCTTATCAAATTGTTTTGTCCCCCAAGTTGCAGTTCAGGGTTGAACTGTTGAGTTCTTAGCATTCCTTGAAATAATCTGAAGTTGTTTCATGACTTGAAGAAGAAACTGATAGAGATACAGATTAACAGAGGTGGAAGGGACCTTACAGGTCATCTAGTCCAATCCCCTGCTCAAGCAGGAGACCCTACACCATTTCTGACCGATGGCTGTCCAATCTCTTCTTGGAAAGCTTCCAGGGATGAAGCTCCCACAACTTCCGAAGGCAACGCTGTTCCATGGGTTGATTGTTCTCATTGTCAGAAAATTTCTCCTTATTTCCAGGTTGAATCTCTCCTTGTTCAATTTCCATCCATTATTCCTTATTTGGTCTTCAGATGCCTTGGAAAATAGCTTGACCCTCTCCTCTCTGTGGCAGCCTCTCAAATTTTGGAAGGTTGCTATCATGTCTCCCCTGGTCCTTCTCTTCACTAGATTAGCCATGCCCAGTTCCTGCAACTGTT